GTCTCTCTCTCTCTCACACACAGCCCCTCTACTTTATCAGTTAAACATGCAGAGTTTTGGTGCATTTGCCTGTTTTTGATCTGAAGCATACATTCTCCTCACCTTCTAATAAGGTATTTCTATAACAGTCTCCAGGCTTCCTGTAGCCTTTGTACATTCTAAGCCGCTCTTTTTTGTTTTTACCTATCCAGTAATACCCAGAAACTATAAAATCTTTGTGTATAGCACGTTCAATTAATTTTACTCAAACTGTCAGTACTAAATGTGTAAAAGTAAAAAAATAAATCTAGGTTATTTTTATTTCTTTAAAAAAAACAAATGAATTGGTATTGAATTTACATATACTTTACTGAATAACAAAAACCCTTTCTTTCTCCAACCTTGCTGAAAAAATTGGAAGCTGACTAAGGGAGATTTATAAACTTGAAACAAATGTCACATCTTATCAATGACAAGAACCAGTTCTAACTTGACTTCATAGATTTCCTGACTTCTGCTGTTGGGACATTCTGGATTTCCTAGCTGTCCACCACTACCACAAGCACTACAACTTAAAAAGGAAACTTCAGTCTTTTTATTTATTTTAAAATTTATTTTATTGAAGTGTAGTTGATTGACAATGTTGTGTTAATTTCTGTTGTACAGCAGAGTAGTTCAGTAATAACACATATATATATATACATTTTTTTTCATATTCTTTTCCATCATGGTTTACCACAGGATATTGAATATAGTTCCCTGTGTTATATACAGTAGGACCTTGTTGATCTATTCTATATGTAATAGTTTGCATATGCTAATCCCAAACTCACCATCTATCCGCTCCCCCCACAACCACAAGTCTGTCTGCGAATCTGTTCCTGTTCATAGATAGATTCATTTGTGTCATATTTTAGATTCCACATGTAAGTGATATCATATGGTTTTTGTCTTTCTCTTTCTGACTTACTTCACTTGGTGTGATCATCTCTAGGTCCATCCGTGTTGCTGCAAATGGCGTCATTTCACTCTATTTTATGGCTGAGTATTATAATATATTCTCTTTTATGGCATATCTTCTTTATCCATTCATCTGTCAATGGACATTTAGGCTATTTCCATGTCTTGGCTATTTTATATAGTGCTGCTATGAGCATAGGGGTGCATGTATCTTTTTGTATTATAGTTTTGTCCCTATGTATGTCCTGAAGTGGGATTGTGGGATCATATAGCAACTCTATTTTTTGTTTTTTGAGGAACCTCTATACTGTTCTCCATAGTGGCTGCACCAACCTACATTTCCACCAACAGTGTAGGAGGGTTCCCTTTTCTCCACACCCTCTTCAGCAGTTTTTACTTTTAAGACTTTTTAATGATGGCCATTCTGACTGGTATAAGGTCATACCTCATGGTAGTTGGGTTTTTTTTTTGGCCGGTCTGGGTCTTCTTTGTTGTGCCTTCTCTAGTTGCGGTGTGTGGGCTTCTCTTTGCAGTGACTTCTGTTGTAGAGCACAGGCTCTAGGCTCTCAGGCTTCAATAGCTGCAGCTCGAGGGCTCCAAAGCTCGGCTCAGTAGTTGTGGCATATGGGCTTAGTTGCTCCACGGCACTGGGATCTTCCCAAACCAGGGATCAAATCAGTACCCCCTGCACTGGCAGGCAGATCTTAGCCGCTGGGCCACCTGGGAAGTCCTCGTTGTAGTTTTGACTTTCATTTCTCTAATAATTAGAGATGATGGACATCATTGCATGTGCCTGTTGGCCATCAAGGCTTCAGTCTTTGGCGGGGAGGGGGCATGCCATGTACAGCTTTCAGGATCTTAGCTCCCTGACCAGGTATCAAAGCCGGGTTCCTGGCAGTGGAAGTGCAGTCCTAACCACTGGACAGACAAGGAATTCCCAGAGGCATCAGTCTTTTTAAATTTAGACTGTTTCATGTCTTAGGATCTGTAGGGAGTTTTCACATATATTCCACACATGTGAAATTTAAATTTTTTTAAATAATCTTACAACTGTTGAGATAATTGGAGACATTTTAAGATATATAAAGAAGTGTATTGCAGCTGACTTTCTCCCAAATTTTCCTTTCTATTTTACCAAACAAGGAGTAAAATAAAAAATAATGATACATTTTTTTCAAAATTAAACTTTAAATTTAAAAATTCAGTAATCTTTCTTTTTAGGAGAGAAATAGATGCAGACCCAAATTATTTCTATTCAATTAATTGACAATAATTTATAGAGAAAAACTGATAGAGACCTAGTTATATAAGTGTATCAAGTAGACTCAGCGGTACTTTAAAAGATAGTGAATAGGCCTCCCTTTCAAACCTCTTCTAAACTGTGATTACAGAAATTGCCGAAGTCATTCTTTTGACAATACCTTGATTAAATACATTTCAGGTAGAATATGGAAACCATCTAACGATTAATTTGGCTATTGTTCAAATAAACATAAAACAATTCTCTCCTTTCCAGAGAATTGCTAGCATAATTACGGCCTTCATCTTTCCAAAAGCACTTGTCATTTAATTATTAGTGTGATTTTTCTGATTCTTTGTTAGAATCTTTGAGACATCACAGGTTGTGCTTGTTTTTATTATTACAACTACAGGTTGATGAATCAAAACATCAAATTTCCTACCTTTGAAGAGTAACTTTTTAACACAAAACATACTTGAATGTTTAATAATTACCTTTAAAAGCAGTTTTAAGTAAATAAAAGCTCTTTTCCAAGCAAGGTCCATGTTTTATAACTTCCAGCTGTGAAGTACCCATCATATGAAGCAGACATATTAGATGTTAATCACTTTAGCTAAAGCTAATTAAAGATTGAGCCCTACAAAGATCTAGAGAAAGTGAATTTGATTGAATGTATACAACTAGTTTGAATCATATTCTCTCCCAAGATGATTAAAATATAACTAGCTAGCAGTTTATCTTTGAAACTTCCAAGGTACAAGACCCTCCCCAAATTCTTCCTTTTCATCATCGTTATAATCATAATCAGCATCATTGCCATCATAGCTAATATTTATTGGAAGTTTACTTCATGCCAGTCTACGAGCTTTATACGTAGAATTTCATTTGCTCCTTACAACAGTCCTATGAGGAAGGTGCCATTATCTCCATTCAGAGTCTAAAGCAATTTGAGGAAAGATCAAGCTGATGAAAGGTTAAGCAACTTCATGAATGTCACATAAATAGTATGTGCCAGATCCCAGATCTGAAAGCAGGCTAACCCAGTTTAAAGATTGTTCCTAACTTTTATTTTACTTTGCCTAAACCCACTTAATTCACTTAAATTTGGTATAAAATGACTTTAATCATGACCTTTTTGTTGGGACCCATTTTGGTTTTTCCCTTCATCAATGAATATTGGATAAAGTATTCATTCAAGGAATAGGAAGACAAGGTATAAATAACTGAAAAGTTAACAGATTAAAAAAAAACAACAACAAACCAAGAAACAAATACACGATTAAGTGGCGTAGACAGTTTGCCTAGCAATCTGGGGTGGAACTATTTTAATTGTGTCCTGAAGTCTGGAAAGACTTTAAATGAAAGTGTAGAAGAGGGGGCCTTCTCAGAACAAGTTGACTACCTCTACAAAGGCAGAAAGTCCAACTCTACAAAGGCTAGACAAACGGAAACAAGTGAGAATAGTCCAGGAGGGCTTATGAGAGGAAAGGAAGAGGGGACAGAGGTGGGGGTCACATACATTGACTGATACTTGATGTCTTACTCAGTACCAAGGACAGTTTTAGAGCCCAACAAGAGGAAAAGTTTGGATAGTCAGTTGAATTTGTGTTGTTTTATCTTTTCCTCTCTTAGCTGTTGTATGACCCTGTGTCATTTTATTTATGTTTCATTTTCCTATCTGTAAAAAAGGAATAATTCTTGTTCCCTTGGGCTTTTTCCTAGTCATCAAAAATGAATGAGTTAGGCCACAGTACACAAACAAAAAGAAAATATGTAATATTTCATAAGATAATAAAAGTTGTGAAATATCTGAACATCTTTATATAACAGCAGTGTAGAAAACTTTTAATGAAACATTTAAATTAATTAATGAGTGCAGCTATACAGATCCTCAGACCTCATTTTTTCTTAAAGTGGCAGAAACTTGAAAAAAAAAATAAAAAGAGGATGTAGTTAGCTTTCAATTACTTAGGACCTGACAACTCAATTTACGGATTACAAAGAATTTTAATTTACTCATTTCACACGTCGTTATCAACTCTACTAGAAGTTTGAAAGGACAAAGGATGAAAGTCGAATTGGTCAGTTTCCGTGTTATTTCCAAGGGGGCATGGAGCGGGGGTGAGGGGGGAATTTCCTTTGAGTCAAGACTGGGGGCAGCCAATAATTGCTAATATTGCCTGACTGGTAAACAGGCTGATGAAGTGAAAACAACGTGAAAACTCTGATTACATCTAGCGCGCCTTCCCACCCTCGCTTTTAGATGAGGCATTTTCTTCTCTCTCCCGCCCTCACAGAAGGGGCTGAGACAGCATCTGGCATCACAATACTAACATTTGTTTCGTGATTTCCTCTTTACTGAGCACTCTGACACACATCACTTCTTCGGCATCAGGATTCACTGGAACCTTTCTGCGTTTTTTAAAAAATAAAAATCTGCCAGGGGATCTGGGGGCCGATATTTTCACCGGCTGTGACAATCGCGATCTGGACCCCTCCCCCGAGCGAGCGGAGCTCTCCGGGTTTTATTCCAGGCCTGTGACACCTCCGTGAAGCCGCCGTTGTGACTCACATCTTGCAGATTCTGCGCCCCCAACATCCAAACCCCAGAGAATCCAACCCGAGCCCACAGCGCGTGGTCAACCCGCCCAAGCCGACTTGGAGGTCTCGCTTCTGAGTCACACATAAAGACCACCCTCGTCGGCATCCTCCCCCTGCCCCCCACACACAGTCGCTCACACCCCGGCGCGCCGGCCGCCGGGCCTCGGGGCCTGACACACCAACGCCTGTCTTCTCTGCGCAACTCGTTATGCTCCAGCTCTTAGCCCTTGACCCAAAAACCCCGAGAAATGGAGAGCCGCAGAGCCGGCCTCGGGCGGCCTTTGATGGCTTTGTTATTGTTTGGGTTTGAATCGATACGCCCCTCCCCATCCTTCCTCCCTCGCAGCTCAACACCCGGCTCCCGCCTCCTCGCACGCCCCGCGCCCCTCCCCCTCCATTTTGGCGCCTTTTCCTTCCCGCCACGTCGTGGCGGCGTAGAGACCATTCTGACCGCGAGAGCGGGGGCGGGGCGGGGGCGGGGCGCGCCTGGCGTTATGCAGATGAGCCGGCCTCTGGTTGGCTGGAGGCGCGCCAGCGGGGGCGGGGCCGGGGCGCGGCGATGGCGCGCGGGGCGGGGGGGTGCAGAGGGGAGTCACCCCGTCCCGCCGCTCCCCCACCCCCTCTCCTCCCTCCGCCTGCCCGGGCGCCCGGCTTCCCCCGCCTAGGCCTCCCGGAGAGGCCCCGCCCCATCCCCGCCCGCCCGCGCGCCCCCTCCCCGCCGGCGCGCTCCGCCCCTTTTACTCCTGGCGGCAGGGCGAGCCGGGCGTCTGCTGCAGCGGCCGCGGTGGCGGAGGAGGCCGGAGAGGACTTGGCGGCGGCGGCGGCGGTGGCGGGACCGGCAACAGCAACAGCAGCAGCAGCAGCAGCTACAGCTACACACTGTCTGTGCCGCGGCGCTGCCACACCAGCCCCTCGAGCCGCCCACCCTGCCGCCCGCTGCGCTGCCTGACCCTGCCGGCGCGTCCGTCAGCCGCCAGCCCCGGCAGCGCCCCCAGTCGTCCTCCGACTCGCCCTCGGCCTTCCGCGCCAGCCGCAGCCGCAACCGCAACGCCACCCGCAGCCTTAGCTCCGGCCTTAGGCACAGCCGCCGGCGCAGCCCTAGCCCCTACTGCAGTAGCTCCTCCAGACACAGCCTCTGCGCCGACACCCTGGAGGTGGGGATGCTCTTGTCCAAAATCAACTCGCTTGCCCACCTGTGCGCCGCGCCCTGCAGCGACCTGCACGCCAACAAGGTGGCGCCGGGTAAGTGCCTCTCTCCCCCCAACCCCGGATGGAGGTGGGGGGTGGCTGGACCTGGAGGGTTGGAGCTGGGGGGCTCGCGGGCCGTCACTAATTCTTCCGGGACTCTCCCTTTCCTAGGCAAGGAGAAGGAGCCCCTGGAGTCGCAGTACCAGGTGGGCCCGCTCCTGGGCAGCGGCGGATTCGGCTCGGTGTACTCAGGCATCCGTGTTGCCGACAACTTGCCGGTGAGTGGGCGCCCGGCTTGCGGGGAGGGCGCGCCGCCCGGGGGCACGCCGGTGTGTTTGGCCCCCAGCGAGGGAATCTCTTAACAGAGACTCTATGGGGGGGGGGCTTTCCAGGTGGCCATCAAGCACGTGGAGAAGGACCGGATTTCCGACTGGGGAGAACTGGTGAGTATCTTGGAGGGAGCGACCCCCCGGGATGGCTGGAGTGGGGTACCCTGTGACCCGCCCCTGCCCTAACTGCAGCCCCCCTCGCCCCTCTGCAGCCTAATGGCACCCGAGTGCCTATGGAAGTGGTTCTGCTGAAGAAGGTGAGCTCAGGCTTCTCCGGCGTCATTAGGCTCCTGGACTGGTTCGAGAGGCCCGACAGTTTCGTCCTGATCCTGGAGAGGCCGGAGCCGGTGCAAGACCTCTTCGACTTTATCACGGAAAGGGGGGCCCTGCAGGAGGAGCTGGCCCGCAGCTTCTTCTGGCAGGTGCTGGAGGCGGTGCGACACTGCCACGACTGCGGGGTGCTTCACCGCGACATCAAGGACGAGAACATCCTTATCGACCTCAATCGCGGCGAGCTCAAGCTCATCGACTTCGGGTCGGGGGCGCTGCTCAAGGACACCGTCTACACGGACTTCGATGGTGAGTCAGCCTGAGGGGGAGCTTCCCGGGAGGGGAACTGCCCAGGTGACTCGGCCTGGCCTGGAGGCCTCGGCAGGCTTCCCTCCCCGGCCCTTTGTAAAGGTCATCGGGCCGCCTGGCTCGGTGCTAGCAGGGGTGGGGCGAAGGAGGGCTTCCCAGGGTAGGAAAGCTGGGGATTTCGAGCCAGCTGAACCTGTAATGTCTCTGGCATGATTTTATTTTTTAAGTGGAATTCAGTAGGTTCCAAGCTTTCCCCATGAATAAGAGGTTGTGGGCAACCGGCCGTAGCCCAGATTTCTGAAGTCTGACCCAGTTTCCCCGCCAGTAGAAGGATGGGAGGGAGGGGGACAGGGGGAGGAGAGAGCGGGAGAGATGAAAATTGATTGCCGGTTTTGTCATTTTTGTTTTGATTTATAAGGGAGTTTTCGGTGAGGTAGTTTTTTGCGATGTGTTTTGTTTTGTTTTGTTTTTTCCCCTCCCCTTTGATCTGGGGACGAGTAAGGAAAAAAAGAGTAGTTTCACTAAATAATTCATTTTGTTGATTTTTGTTATTATTTTTTTTTTGGTGGTGATGAGTGAGGGAGTCGGGAATGAATGTTGTGAAATAGGATCTCTTGCTGGTTTGAAAATTAGTTGGGTATCTCCACAGAGAGGATGAAAACCTATCTTAGGGAGGGGCTTGGAGCGGGTTCTTTCAGAAAAGATGGAATGGAGAGCTCGGAGATCAAAGCAGAGGAGGGTGGGTCATCATCTGAGCGGCTTAACCTAACAAACGACAGCCTTTCAAAACTTGTGACTGGGGCTTGTGGTTTGTGTTTATTTGCCCTTGGAGGACGCTGGGTTGGGCTGCGTTTTTTTTGTATTTAACAGTTAATGGCTGGCCGGGTCCTCCCATGTTTTTTCCTTCCAGTCTTTGCTGCCCCCTGGTGAGCGCCGGCGGGATGGCCCCACATTTTTTTTTTTTTTACAACTCAAAGTTTGTAAACAGGAATCACGTGGTCTGAAGCCAGCCCTGCAGCTCTACCTCTCCCGTGGATGGAGGAAGGGGTGTGGGTGTCTGCCCTTGCATTCAGAGGGTGGAGAGGAAGTCTTCTTAAAGGGCACCCTGACTTAGAATATTGCGCAAGTGTCCTTGCCTGGATCATGTCTGAGGTGGCACTCTAACCCGCTCCTGGTCAAGGACCTTTAATGCAATTTCAGGATAGTCTGTGGGGATACCTCCCTTGATTATACATGTGTTCATCTCCTCCTCCAGTTGTGGGTGGTCCTACCACATACCTGTCAGGTGCTTGGGTCTGTGGCTGGCCCTGTTTGTTTCTTGGAGCTGTTTGTTTACGGTCTGGGCTGATAAGAGAAGTCAGTAATGCTTTGGGTTGGAGAGTTGCCATAAGCTGCTCATCCACTCCTGTTAGGCCTGGGGAGGGGGGATTGGAGTTCACTCAGCTGTTGACAAAAGTAGGGTGGTGCTTTTTTTTTTTTTTTTTTTAAGTTACTCAGCATACCTCTCGGGTGCTTTGAGTCTTATTTTTGCTAAAAGTGTGTTTTCTTTCCTCTTCCCCTGACTCACAGGGACCCGAGTGTATAGTCCTCCAGAGTGGATCCGCTACCATCGCTACCATGGCAGGTCCGCAGCCGTCTGGTCTCTTGGGATCCTGCTGTACGACATGGTCTGCGGAGATATTCCCTTTGAGCACGATGAGGAGATCGTCAGGGGCCAAGTTTTCTTCAGGCAGCGGGTCTCCTCAGGTAACTTCTGGGAAGCCCCTTATTGAGGAGAGGCTGGAATCACGAGGCTGATAGTCCTCAACGAGCTTGGAGAGCTTTACTCCCCAGGAGAGGCTGTGACCCTTGACTTAGCAGGATTCTTGGCCAGTGATTCATGCTTGAGAGCCAGTTTGCAGGAATCAAATGATAATGCATTTGTGGGTGCTTTTGCGGGGGGTGGGGGGTGTCAGAGGAAGAGCACCTGTGGGAATATTAGGAAGAAAAAGACCATTTAGTATCATTGGAAGATTGTTTGTTTTTGAGTACCCAAAAATCCTGATCCCTTAATTCCTGGCTGTTTTGCCCGGGAGTAAAGAAGTTGAGTGCTTTTTGAGCCTTCTCCCTTAAGGCAGGCCCTCTAAATACTGTGGTTCCAGTGACCTCATTGTGGGTGGTGTTCATATTTGTAAGTCTGTAGGTGAATTGAATCACCTCATCATGCTTAGTGATGTCTCATCAAAATCCCTTGTCATCATCCTTCCTATTTCTGGTGAGTGGGCGTCGTGGGAAAGGTCCCAGCTATTGAAGTTTGAAAACCACAGGTTTAAGAGGGGAGCTGGTTTTTTGTTTTTTTTTTTTTTTTTAGCTGAAAGCAAACTGGAGGATCTGGATGTTAGTTAATACCTTCTCATTGAAGAAGCAGCCTTCTAGAAAGGGCCTGGTCTCTTGGTTGGATCCCTGACCTGTGGGCCCCTGGGAAGCAACGTGGGAAGACCTTTACATTGCAAAAGCAAGTTGAGTCATTCATAACCTCTTGTCTTTCTTTCTCCAGAGTGTCAACATCTCATTAGATGGTGCTTGGCCTTGAGACCATCAGATCGGCCAACCTTTGAAGAAATTCAGAACCATCCGTGGATGCAAGACGTCCTCCTGCCCCAGGAAACTGCTGAGATCCATCTCCACAGCCTGTCGCCAGGGCCCAGCAAATAGCTTCTCCCACAGGTTCTTCCCTCCCTGTCAGATGCTCGAGGGAGGGGAAGTGTCTTGTCTCCAGCTTCCCGAGTACCAGTGACACTTATCTCCAAGCAGCACAGTGCTTGATACAGGAACAACATTTACAACTCATTCCAGACCCCAGGCTCCTGGAGGCTGCCTCCCAAACAGGAGGAAGAGACTGCACTCCAGGCGTCCTAGGCCCCCACTCCTCCCGTACAAGCTCTCCTTCTCACCGGTGTTGCAAAATCCCAGGGGTGGGCGGCAGTGGGCGGTGGGTGGGAGTAGGGCAGGATCCTGCCATGGAACTGTTCCCTTCATCAAGAGTTCTGCTGAATGCCGTGACGGGTTGGGCGGGGTGGGGGGAATGCGGGTTGGGGTGGGTTAGGACTAGCACCATTTTAAGTCCCTGTCACCTCTTCCGACTTTCTGAGTGCCTTCTGTGGGGACTCCGGCTGTGCTGGGAGAAATACTTGAACTTGCCTCTTTTACCTGCTGCTTTTCCAAAAATCTGCCTGGGTTTGGTTCCCTCTCTTTCTCCCTTCCCCTTACCCCCCATCCTTCATATGAAAGGTGCCATGGAAGAGGCTACAGGGCCAAACGCTGAGCCACCTGCCCTTTTTCCACCTTTAGTAAAACTCCCAAGTGAACT